TTTAACTGCTAGGTTGGCAGAAGCTGGGGCTAACAACGGGAGCTCACCTCACTCCCTGGATTCAAACCATCAGTCATCACTTTCCCTGCGTAGAGTTGCAAAAGGCATGAGCTTAGTCCATCCTGGGAAAACCTAAAAGAAGCACCAACCCCCTCTACCCCTTCTGATATATTGCCATTTTTGGCTTCTTCTCTTTTTAATGCCTTGGTGGAGAAATGGTAAGAGGTCGGGGAAGCCGACTCCCTATGTTGGCATTGCTGCTTTCCCCTCTCCACAGAAGGACTCTCGACTTATCCATGGGTTGTATAAAATCCAAAACTTGCTCTTTACTTATACATGAGGTTAACTAGTATACGAGTATATACAGCACTGAACTTTTGGGGTGTGTTCTCTATTTTTAGAGTAGCTGCTGGATGCTTTCTTGATTTTTGTTTCCTTTCTGGCAACGACAACCTCCCTCATCTCCAATGACCAAGAGGAAGGTGTGAGTTGTAATCCCACCCTTCTGAAAGCTTCTGTATATCATGTGTATCTCTCATAGTCAAAATATGTTTTTTATTGTCCCAGTGCTCTGTGGCAGCCAAACCTGCAATTATCTCAGGCTTAAGATAAAGCGCTGAGTCTTTCTCCCCACACCCTTTGCATGGCTCAAGGCAAAAGGCAGCACTCACAGACCAGCTTGCTTTCATTGTGGTTGCTGGGTGCTTTTATGATAGGAGAGATGGGATAATAAAGACAGGATGCAAAGGAGAGAATAATGGGAGAGCTTATTTGTTAAAGCTCTTGCAAGCAGAATGGTATAGATAAGCAGAACCTTGTCATTTAGGCTGTGCCTTACGGCATCAGGAGGCCTTTTCATTGTCTTCTCTATCCTATGTATTACAAGCCTTTCTCTACAACAAAACCACCCCGTTTGGTACTGCTCTGGAAACTAGGAAACGGAACAATGGGTTGAAAGTACAGGAAAGGCAATTCCACCTGAACATTACGAACTGTTCAACAGTGGAACTCTCTGCCTCAGACTGTAGTGGAAGCTCCTTCACTGGAGACTTTTAAACAGAGGCAGGATGACCTTTTTTGTGGATACTTTGATTGTGCTTTTCCTGCATGACAGGGAGTTGGACTAGATGGTCCATATGGCCCATATGTCATCGGTTGGGGACCCCTCCCCACAGCACCAACTGCTGCTCTGAGCCAGAGTGAAGAGACAGTGAGCCAGGGGACAGTTCCACCTTGTCTCCTGTGCTATGCTAATAATATAATATAATATAATGTAAGGCTATATAATGTATTGTATATACATATAATATTTATAATATAATGTAATACAATATAATACTAATAATAATATGATATTATAATTATATATTTTATATTACATGTAATATTACTTACAATATAATGGTATAGTACAATATAGTAACATATAATACTGATATTGTACTATGCTAATAATATAATATAATATAATATAATATAACTAGCGGTCCCCTGCCACACGTTGCTGTGGCCCAGTCTGTATTCTGGAAAATAAAGTAATGAGAAAGTGTTGGTTTCTAATATATGCAATGTCTTTCTGCTTGTGGGTAAACAGTATTTCTTGCTGTTTCTTTGTCAGTGTTGATGTGGAGATTGTCTGGTTTGCCCACTCTGGAACATGCAACATATCATTGTCCTTCTTTAGGGGTCCCTTTCAAATCTTTGATACTGCATCTGTCATATACATATATGTGTGTGTGAATGGCTGGATGGTCCTTTGTCAGGAGGGCTTTGATTATGTTTTCTTGCCCTGGTGAAGGGAGTTGGACTGGATGGCCTTAAGGCAGCATTTCTCAACCTGGGAATTGAAACCCCTGGGGGGGATCACGAGGGGGTGTCAGAGGGGTCGCCAAAGACCACCAGAAAACACCGTATTTTCTGTTGGGCATGAGGGTTCTGTGTGGGAAGTTTGCCCCAATTCTGTCATAGGTGGGGTTCTGAATTCTCCTTGATTATAGGTGAACTATAAATCTCAGTAACTACAACTTCCAAGGTCTATTTCCCCCAAACTCCATCTGTGTTTATATTTGGACATATTGAGTATTCGTGCCAAGTTTGGTCCAGATCCATCATTGTTTGAGTCCACAGTGCTCTCTAGAAGTAGGTGAACTACAACTCCAAAACTCAAGGTCAATGCCCACCAAACCCTTTTAGTGTTTTTTGTGGTCAGGGGAGTCCTGTGTGCCAATAGTTCAATTCCATCGTTGGTAGAGTTCAGAATACTCTTTGATTGTACGTGAACTATAAATCCCAGCAACTGCAACTTCCAAATGACAAAATCATAATTTTTGAGTGATGGTCACTCCTTGTGTTGTGAGATGTTTTGTTGCCAAATTTGGTGTGATTTTGTTCATTGGTTCTTTTGTTTTTAAGGTACTCATTATGCACAGAGCATATATATATATATATATATATATATATATATATATATATATATATATCTTGTAAGCTGCTCTGAGTCCCCTTTGGGGTGAGAAGAGTAGCATATAAATGTCATAAATAAATAAATAAATATGATTCTATATTACCTAGAGAGTTTATATTGGAATTACATTAAGTCATATACAAAGCTCTTAAATGTGTCCCCCAAGGACTACATTTCAATAAGGACTACTGTGAGTTATACAAAACACAGCACAGGTATGCTACGTTCAGAGGCGGCCCTAGGTAATTTTCAACGGTAAGCAAAGAGTATTTTGCCCCCCCCCCCCCCCAACCAATCACTGATATATCTTTTCTGTTCGTCGTGGGAGTTCTGTGTGCCATATTTGGTTCAATTCCATCATTGGTGGAGTTCAGAATGCTCTTTGATTGTAGGTGAACTATACATCCCAGTAACTACAACTCGCATATGTCAAGGTCTATTTTCCCCCAAGAGCGCCTCAAGAGTGCCCCTGGGAAAAATCAACGATACTGCAAATGCTTACTTTGCGTAATGGGTTGAGCCGCCCCTGGCCACGTTCATAAAATAGAGCCTATTTGAGTCTCCTTGTGGAGAGAAAAGGCAAGGTATAAATAAACATATTATTATTAGTAGTAGCAATGTAACAGCGCTCCATGAAGTCATGCCTTGGAGGTGTCTACGGACAATGCTGGCTCTTCGGCTTAAATATGGAGATGAGAAACAACGCCCAGAGTCGGACATGACTGGACTTAATGTCAAAGGAAAACCTTTACCTTTACTAGTAGTAACAACAACAACAACAACAACAACAACAACAACAACAACGTGTTACCAGCCAGTACGTCTTGACTATACAGTTTGATAGCAGAGGCATTCTGATCCTGATAACTGTGTAATTGAAATAACTGGGGCCTTTCTCCTTTTGTTAATCCTCTTCCATAGAGAAAATGTACAGTTACAGCAAAGGGTGACAAGAGAAGAAAGAAATGTGGTAGACTTTGTCTTTGAAATGTCTGTTTACTCCATTCCAGAATACTCATTTTCAGGGCCATGAACTTGTGCTTGAACCACTTCAAGATGTTTGTGATTATGGTAAGAGTCCTTTGGCACTTAGGGCTGCATTTTTATTAGAGATTTAATGCAGTTTGAGACCATCTAAACTGCCCTAGCTCAAAGTATTTTGGTGGGGCACCAGCTCTTTATGGCAGAGAAGGCCAAAGACCTTGTAAAACTACAGCTCCCAGAACTCCACATTGAGCCATTTAATGTGTACAAAGGAAACAAAAGCAGATTCCCTAGTTTGTGTCTTTATGCCTAATTGTACATTTCTCTGCAGAAGAAGACAAAGGGAAAGAAGAGGAAAAAGAGGGGAAAGAGGAGGAGGAAGAAGAAGGGGAAAGAAGAGGAAGAAGAGGGGAAAGAGGAGGAGGAAGAGGAAGAAGAAAAGGGGGAAGAAGAAGAAGATGGGAAAGAAGGGAAGAAGAGAGGAAAGAGGAGGAGGAGGAAGAAGAGGGTAAAGAAGAGGAAGAAGAAAAGGGGGAAGAAGAAGAAGATGGGAAAGAAGGGAAGAAGAGGGGAAAGAGGAGGAGGAGGAAGAAGAGGGTAAAGAAGAGGAAGAAGAAAAGGGGGAAGAAGAAGAGGGGAAAGAAGAGGAGAAGGAAGAAGAGGGGAAAGAGGAGGAGAAAGAAGAAGAAGAGGGGAAAGAAGAGGAAGAAGAAGAGGAGGAGGAAGATGGGAAAGAAGAGGAAGAAAAAATAGGGGTAAGAAGGAGAAGAGGGGAAAGAAGAGGAAGAAGGGAAAGAGGAGGAAGAAGAAAAGGGGGAAGAAGGAGAAGAGGAGGAAAGAAAGGAGGAGGAAGGAAGAGGGGAAGAGGAGGAAGAAGAGGGAAAGGAGAGGAGAAGGAAGAAGAGGAAAGAGGAGGAAAAGAAGAAGAAGAGGGAAAGAAGAAGAAGAAGAGGAGGAGGAAGATGGGAAAGAAGAGGAAGAAAAAATAGGGGTAAGAAGGAGAAGAGGGGAAAGAAGAGAAAGAAGGGAAAGAGGAGGAAGAAGAAAAGGGGGAAGAAGGAGAAGAGGAGAAAGAAGAGGAGGAGGAAGAAGAGGGGAAAGAGGAGGAAGAAGAGGGGAAAGGAGAGGGGAAAGGAGAAGAGGAAGAAGAGGGGAAAGGAGGGAAAGAGGAAGAAGAAAGAAAGGGAAGAGAAGAAGAAAAGGGAAAGAGGAGGAGGAAGTAGAGGGGGAAGAGGAAGGGGAAGTGGAAGAGGAAGAGGAAGAAGTGGTTAAATACCATGGGTGGCAACCCTGTTCCTAAAAAAAGTATTCTCCTCCTTTCTCATGGAAGGGATGCTGCCTCTTTCAGGACAATAACACAAAATAAAGAAAGTACTCTACATATCTAACTAGTTTGAGTTCTCCATAATGAACGCCTGCACTAACCATAGGCATTCCTGGCGTGCATCTCTGCAGCACGAATGCAGTGTGACTTACAGCCAGTGCAAGTGTGGGTTCTACCAGCCGTCGCCTCCCCGAACTACAACTCCCAGCATCCCACAGCGTGGAGCCGGGGCAGACCCCTCCCCGGGAGTGGCGCGAAACTGCGTCCATTCGACAGTGTAGACGCCCGGGCGGGCGACACAAGCAGGCGCTTGTTGCTCCTGGGCTCCTCCTCCTCTCCTCCTCCTGCTCTTCCCAGAGGAGGCTTTCTCTCCCAGAGGCGGCCGCATTTTCCTTTCGGAAGCCGCAGCAACAGCAAGGCCAGGGAAAGAGCCTCTCTTCCTGGGACGCGGAGGAGTTTCCCCTCCAGACCCCCAAAGGAGGCTGCCTTGGGCTCGAAGCCAAGGCTCGGGGTTGTTTTCCAGGGCGGCCAACCTGCCCCAACCACTGCCCGCCCGGCCTTCTTCTCCGGCCCCAGGAAGGAGGCCAGGCCCACCTGGCAAGGCAGCGGGCTTCGGGAAAGGCCATGGGCGCCGCAGGATGGAGGCCACGGAGGAGGAGGAGGCGGTGAGGAGGGGGAAGAAGGGGAGTGGGGGGGGGGGGGGGGGGGGGGGGGGGGAGGCATTGAGAGAGTTTCCCATGGGGTGGAGTGTGAGAGTATGTGCTTTCACATTACACACACAGTTGTGTGCGACGGTTCAACTGGAAAGATTTTTTATTTTGTGTGCAAAGTCGCTTCTGGTGTGAGAGAATTGGCCGTCTGCAAGGACGTTGCCCAGGGGACGCCCGGATGTTTTGGTGTTTGACCATCATGTGGGAGGCTTCTCTCATGTCCCAGCAATGGAGAGCTGGAGCTGACAGAGGGAGCTCACCCACGCTCTCTCCGGATTCGAACCCCTGACCTGTCTGTCTTCAGTCCTGCCGGCACAAGGGTTTAACCCATTGGTTGTTGGCTGCGCCACTCTTTGTGCGGCACCTAGACCTTAGAAAGAATGCAGTTTGGCACCTGGGAGTTGTAGTTTGGGGAGGCACCAGCGCTCTTTGGCACAGAAGAACCTTGGAAAGCCACAGGAGACCCCATAGGGCAGCTAAAGTAGGCTCAGAGATTATTCCCACCCAGGCCAAGGATTCTAAGCACTCCTTTCCAAACTACAGACCCCAGAATCCCATAGGATGGAGCCATGGATCTTAAAAGTGGAATCCTGGTAGTCTTAACTAGGGTGCTTCTACACTTCTACTTGGGCCCTCCCTCCTGGTATTTTGGACTTCAACTCCTAACAGCCTCAGGCTCTTTCTTTTCCCCCCTTAGCTGCTTAAGGGAAGAGCCTGAGGCTGTTAGGGCCTGAGGCTGTTCGGTCAGCAAGTTCAGCAACTCAGTAGTTGAAGTAGTTTAGCCCCCCCCCCCCATATATATATAGAGAGAGGGGGGGGGGGGAGAGAGAGATTGCTAATTCAAAAATATAAACAATAGTAAACTGTAAAAGACCATTTTATTTTTGGAAACCAAATCTACCATATGTTTGTTTTTCCTTACTTTATTTCTGTTTGAAAAGTTTTCTCCTACTTTTTTTTAATTTAAGAGTCTTTTAGAGGGGGAGCCCCTTTGCAAGGGGGCGGGGCATGGTTCAGTTTTGCACCATATGGTTCATGACAAATGGGAGAGTCCTGTGGAGTCCCTTGTTCCCTCAATACCTTCCAAGAGAATCTCAATTCCATTTTAAATTGCAGTTTTCTCTCTGGTGTTGAAAATGTTCCTCTACAGCTGGTATGGGCAGAATTCAGCCTCTCAGTTGTCACAGTTTCTACCAGCCTACCTAGCCTGGGCAGCGCAGGGAGTTAAATCACTGGGCTGATGAACTTGCTGACCGAAAAGTCAGTGATTTGAATCCAGGGAGTGGGGTGATCTCCCGCTCTTAGGGTCAGTTTCTGCCAACCTAGCAATTCGAAAACATGCAAATATGAGTAGATAAGGGGGGAAGGTAATGGTGCTCCATACAGTCATGCTGGCCACATAACCTTGGAGGTGTCTACGGAAATGCCGGCTCTTTGGCTTAGAAATGGAGATGAGCACCACCCCCCAGAGTTGAACATGACTAGACTTAATGTCAAGGGGAAACCTTTTAACATCTACATGAAGCCGCTGGGTGAGATCATCCGGAGTTTTGGAGTGCGATGTCATCTGTACGCAGATGATGTCCAACTCTGTCACTCCTTTCCATCTGCTACTAAGGAGGCTGTCGAGGTCCTGAACCGGTGCTTGGCTGCTGTGACGGTCTGGATGGGGGCGAACAAATTGAAATTGAATCCAGACAAGACAGAGGTACTCCTGGTCAGTCGTAAGGCCGAACAGGGTATAGGGTTACAGCCTGTGTTGGATGGGGTCGCACTCCCCCTGAAGACACAGGTTCGCAGTTTGGGTGTGATCCTGGACTCATCGTTGAGCCTGGAACCCCAGGTTTCAGCGGTGACCAGGGGAGCATTCGCACAGTTAAAACTCGTGCGCCAACTGTGCGCCGTACCTTGGGAAGTCTGACTTGGCCACGGTAGTCCACGCTCTGGTTACATCCCGTTTAGACTACTGCAACGCTCTCTACGTGGGGTTGCCTTTGAAGACGGCCCGGAAGCTCCAATTAGTCCAACGCTCGGCAGCCATGATACTAACTGGAGCGGAGCGCAGGGAGCATACAACTCCTCTGCTGCACCAGCTCCACTGGCTGCCGATCTGCTACCGGGCTCAATTCAAAGTGCTGGCGTTGGCCTTTAAAGCCCTAAACGGTTCTGGCCCAACTTACCTATCCGAACGTATCTCAGCCTATCAGCCCACCAGGACCCTAAGATCTTCTGGGGGGCCCTGCTCTCTATCCCGCCTGCTTCACAGGTGCGGCTGGCGGGGACGAGAGACAGGGCCTTTTCTGTGGTGGCCGCGGCTATGGAACGCCCTCCCCATGGAGGTAAGATCAGCCCCCTCATTGATGGTTTTCCGGAAAAGACTAAAAACCTGGATGTTCGAGCAGGCGTTTCGGTTAACTCAGTGCAATAAGTGTAATGATTGAAGGACTGGCAATTTGGACGACGAAACTGGATCGCGATTTTAGTCAAGAGATGAATTGGATTGTTTATTGATATATGTATTGTGGATCGTGTTTTTATGCTTTTAAACTGTATACTGTTGTTTGTTATAAGTTGTTGTAAACCGCGTTGAGTCGCCGGCTAGGCTGAGAAACGGCGGTATATAAGTATAGCAAATAAATAAAATAAATAAATAAAATAAATATTTACCTTTACCAGCCAAAGTTTCCCCATGCCTACTTTACAGCCACACACAGTAGCAAATCTCTTTTGTAATTTGGCAAAAACTTCTGTATTGTAAGAATCTTTAATCCTGTTCAGGACGGATACATCCTGTATTTTCCTTGGAGGAACAAGTGACTTTTCCTGCCCACCCACTCAGATTTAATGCTGCTCCACCCACTCAAGGACTTGGCAGGAGAAAAGGAACAGAGACAGCCCATTCCCAACCTTTTTGCCCCCCTTTACTGGCCCTAAATGTCAAGCAGCTGAAACCTTGGCATTGATGCCTCTTTGACAGTTGCCACTCAGCTGGGAGAAGGACAGACTGCCCCCTCATTTCATAATTCTCCCCAATGTGGACTGAGTGCTAGTCTGATTCCCTTAAATATGTATATTTGAGTTGAGGTGAGGGAAACAGGCCCCTTCCACACAGCTGAATAAAACTCCAGGTGTTTTGGACTACAACTCCCACAATTCCTAACAGCTAGGAATTGTGGGATGTGTAGTCCAAAACACCTGGAGGACTGAAGTTTGCCCATGCCTGCTTTTCCAGTCTCTCAGATATATATTGATAGAAAGGCTTCCATTCTTTAAGAATGTGTCCAATGATTTACCCTTCAACAAAACAGTTCACTTGCTCCTTTCTATTATTCCCACGTCTTCACTGTTCCGTCTTCTATTCTTCTGTACGTAACGTTGTTTCCTTGAAAACAATATTGGGAGAGTTTTTGAATGAGGTTAGCTGTGGGTTGCAGCTGGGCCGTGACACGTTTGCTGGGGGAGAAGGCGAAGAATGACTCAGGCCTTGCTCTTTTCCTCCCCCTGAGTCCCACCCCCTCTGAGAAATCCTGCGGAGGAGGAGGTGGCGTTGGCAGAACGTCCAGTGAAAGCAATCCCAGGGTCATTGCCAGTGGCATTTGGCTCCAGCAGGGGCTTCAGAGATGATCCTGTGTGGTTTCTGGTTATCAATGAGCCTTTTCTTTAACGATTTTTAAAAACAAGCATTAGCCGATGGGGTCAGGACACTCAGGTCCTTGGAAGTAAGTTTTCTTAAGTTGTTTTTGTTTTGAACTGAGCATGTTATAGAACTGGAAAACCATCTTGGAACAGATTTGGGGAGAACAAATGTTTTCCAGATTATAGCTTCCAGGATACCCCTTGATTAGTGAATTATGGGAGATGTGGTCAAAAAAATAAGTCTTCCAATCTCTGGCATTTCATGTCTTGTGCAGAATGTAGCCAAACATGAACGCAATTCATGTAGGAAAGAATATTGATATGAATTCCCAGTGCATGTGAGTTTTACCTTTATGTTATTCAGCAAAGGTTATTATTTGTCATAGGTTTTGCTTACAGTTCTGGTGTGGAGAGTCAGACAAAGGGTTTTTGAATTGTCAAAATGATTTCTTGTCAAATGCTAAAACCGAAGTAAAAGGGAAGCACTTGATAGTCACAAGGGAAAAAGAAATGTATCTCAAAGAATGATTGTGCCCCAGGTATTTTGGAACTGACAGTCTTTCTTCCAGTGGCTTCTAAAAGCAAAAGAGAACATATGAAATGATAAACTCAGAAACATAAAACATTGAATACTTTTGTAGGAAACCTAAGATTATATCCAAACGTTTTCTTAGTAAAGTAAAGGTAAAGGTTTTCCTTGACATTAAGTCTAGTCGTGTCCAACTCTGGGTGCTGGTGCTCATCTCCATTTCTAAGCCAAAGAGCCGGCATTGTCCGTATTCGCCTCCAAGGTCATGACTGCATGGAGCGCCGTTATCTTCCCGCAGAAGCAGTACCTAGTGATCTACTTAGATTTCCATGTTTTCAAACTGCTAGGTTGGCAGAAGCTGGAGCTAATACCCTGCACCCTGGCTTCGAACTACCGACCTTTCAGTCAGCAAGTTCAGCAGCTCAGTGGTTTAGCCACCAGTTGCTTATCCTTGGTGAGCTCTTTGAAAGAAACAATTATAGCCAAATATATGAGTGCCTGTCCCAAATATATGAGTGCCTGTCCCTATCATGTTGGACACACTGGAAGAAAATAACTGCGGATCCTCCACTTCAGATAACACTGTCGTAGGCAATTTAAATATGAAATCCAGCATGCTGAATTTCATTTGGAAATAGTCTATACTTAGGTTCCTCCTTGTTTCCATCCACCCCTAAGAATGCTGTCCAGATGGAACATTTTCTTAGAACAAAGAAAATTGCAAATGTGCATAAAACCTTTATGAACATAATATACCTTGGCTATACAATTTCTACAAACCTATATAAGT